TATTAATATTATTATTGCTACAGTTACTATTATTATTATTATCACTACCAAGGACATGTCCTACTCATGCCACCTAAAAAGAGGCAAAATTGTAAATAAAATTGTCAGATGTTATTATTTTTATTATTATTTAAATCCCTGTTATAATAATCTTACAACAATGGCAGTGGCAAAAGTAAATGCAGACTTCAATACTTTATTCAATAATTGAATATTAGGCCAAAAAAAAATCTTATGGACATATTATTTATATTTGATTTACTCCTTTACTCTCTCCTTTATTCTCAACACATTCTCATCTATTGCCCCTTTTCCTTTTCACCTGCTTTCTTTACAGGTTCTCCCATCTCATTTTATATTCTCTCCACATATTCTCAACACATCTTCACCACCAGAGCCTGTGTGGAGCTCTGTCGAAGTTTGAAAGTCCGTCATCTTGTAGTCAACTGCTTTGTCCAAGTCAGGTATTGGTGTGGCCCTTAAGTAATGCCGAGGAGTTTGGATAACATGGTAAATGGTAAATGAACTGTACTTATATCGCGCCTTTCTAGTCTTTCGACAACTCAATGCACTGTACACTACATTCACCCCATTCACACACATTCATACAGTGGTGGCAGTGGCTGCCATGCAAGGTGATGCACAGCAACAGGAGAAATTTGGGGTTCAGTGTCTTAATCAAGCACACTTCGACATGCAGCGAGAGGAGCCAAGGATCGAACCACCAACCTTCTGATTAGTGGACGACCCTGGTGGCTCTACCTCTACCTCTGAGCCACAGCCACCAGCATGTTGAGTGTCTTTGGCTTGCAGAGCTTTGACTGGTTCCCTGAGTCCATGGTGCACTGTGTTCTTGGTGCAGAGATATGTTGAAATGGCAGGAGAGCATGTCCATCTTGTTGTGTAGTGCTGGAAGTTCAGATGGCCTCAATCCAAGTTGTTTTTGGATTTCTACAAATTGCTGAACATGTGTACGCATTCTCCTGTACATCAAAGAATGCTTCAGGTATAGTTTTGCATGTGTAGCATAGGGCAAGGTGGAGCTGGTGTGCATGTCAGGGCACAAACACTGCTTTATGGTGTCACGCTCTGAAGCTTGGACACCCCCCACTGCTCCGCTTATGACAAATCACAAGCTTGTGAAACACACATTAGATCACCCAAGTTGTGCAACTGTAGCACTTCCTCTGCATCTGCAATGGACTGTGCACCCTGTAGCTGTTTGTAGTCCAAGAAAACACTCTCACTATGACCTCTTGCGTGACAAAATGCACACAAACCGCAAGCTGCTTGTGCGTCTGTCCTGCTTCGTCTGCCATCTTTGAGATTGCCATGCTTGACAATGATTCCTGTGATTTCTTGTGAATCATTTCATTTTGGGAGAAGTAAGAGAGGTAGGTGGTATCATTCAATAAAATTGATTCTGGCTAGAGTCCTGCTCATCATACCCCTAGAATGTGATGCCTTGCTCCCCTAAAAAGGTGGTTTCTGACACATTGTGGTGAAGATTTTGGCGCCTCCCTGCTACCTATGCTGTACTAGCAGTTTTAGGCTGCTCAATTGGGCTACACTGCCCTTGGGTTTTTGTGCTTTTAAAGCCAGCATGTGGATTGCACTTTTCTGATGCTCCCGTAAGGATTCCAAACTGGGAGCCACTGAAGGGAATCTTTATTGGTACGAATGTTCTGCCTTCCACACAGTCGACAGCAGAATATGGAGTTCTGGCTACAGAGTACTTAACTGCTCCAACCAACTTTTATTAAAGGTTCAGTGTGTAACATTTTGGAGGATTAACTTGAACAGATGGAATCTAATATTCATTACTATGTTTTTATTAGTGGATAATCACCTGAATATAGGAATTGTTGAGTTGAGTCCTTCCATGGAGTCCGCTACATTGAACTGCCATGTCACTAGAGTAGCCCAGAGGGGACAAACCAAATGCTGGCTGTAGATAAGGCCTTTCATGTTTTTCGCAAGTTTCGCAGCCATCTTAGCTTCTCCTACACACTTCGCAGCCCGTTTTCATTCTCAGGTCATCAAATACATCTGTGTTCAGGCTGTTGGAATCTGAAACTTCACTGTTAGATGCCACTAAATCCCACACATTGGTCCTTTAAGATGCTATTTGCTGAGCTCCGATTCAGGGGGTATTGTGGGAAATGCACCTGGTCTGGGTCGCTTTCTGGAGTTCCTTCCTGAGTTTATTTTTTAACCATACTCCAAGATGTAATCTTACTGTAAACAAATGGCATTGCTGTGACTAAGTGGAAGCCTTTTTTCTTCAAGGCATGGTGGCACTAGTTTTTTTTCAATTTGGCGCTCACTTTTACCCAAAAGGGGGCGTGGCCGTTGTGAAATTAGGACATATGGCCGCTATCATCTATTCACATCTGATGCTGCCCAGTGTTATCAGAGTCTGATCTGCTGACTAGTGAGGAGTTCCAACGGAGCAACTGTTCAGTGCCTTGCTTAAAGGCACCTCAGTAATGGTACATTTCTCTAACCTTTTGGAATTATTTGATATGTTTTTATTTGTAATGTTTTTATTCCTATTTATTTGTTCTTACTCATTCTGTTGTGTCATTACTTCTGTGCTCATGTTCCCTATTGTTGTTATCTGCCTCATTTAGTTGAAATAATTTCCTCTGTACAGCACTTTGTAACATTGTTAATAAAAATAAAGTTTATAAAAATGGACAAAATTAAGTTCTTCTTTTACATGCATGAAAGGTTTAATCCTATTTAGAGCAGGACAGTGGAACAGTGCATTGCTGCCAACATTCGGCTGATTATGTTACATGTGATTTTGCATACCTATATATCATTGTCTTCCCTCTAGCACGTTTTTTTCTCATTCTTTATTTCTGTCGTGCCTTCATTTGGCCTCAGTGTCTGGCTCTCTGTTACATTACATCCTGAGTATGCTTTTTCTGTCAAAGCACTTTGTAAACTGTTTCTTAAGGTGCTATATAAATAAAGTTATTATTATTATACCATATCATGATATTCTGTATATCAATGGCAGAGATACATTTTTATTCATACTGTAATATATAATATAAGTCATGTTTGTCCATCTGATGTGTTTACCCTAAAATCAATGTCTGGCTCCATTCACCATTTGCTTGGCATCATTAACGTGGCTGAGTGGTCAACACAATGATTGCAAATTGATTGAAATGAGCTAAAAAAGGCTAAAGATTCATGCTGCATGCATACACATGGACATGGCATTCTGGAGAGTTGGTCATACTTGTTCAACAGCCGGGTTCACAAGCTCTTTTTATTAAAATTAAGCTGAAATGAAGATTTTATCAGCTCACATTTATCAGTTAGAGAAATTAGCTTTATTTCAGTTCAGATCTAAGCTCATACTTTCAAATGTAATAAATACACAGCTGAATTTTTTATTGAAACTCTTGCTTCCAACATAGATTGTTTCCATTGCAGTTTCATATGATTCATGCACAGCCCCACTCTCCTCTTACTGTTTCAGCTAAAAGCCTCCCACTCACCACCTCATCAGTTTTCTGTTCTGCTGCAGGCTCTCTCCCCCCTCATATCATTCCCTCCTTTCAACATCTCTTTTTTAAGGCACATGTTGTTCTTGAGATGGATTTACACCTACATTTTGGCATGGATTGGTGTAGATGATCACTTTATTCTAGAGCGACTTACAGTGTAGCAGCGCTGTAAATCAATAATCATGTATTATTAATACTGTCAGCAGTTGTAAAGTGAGGAGCAGACAGTGGGGATATGTTAGTGGCAGTGTCAGGACAGTGAAATAGGTGAACATTATTACACATACATTTTGAGAATCTACAGTTTTGCACTGAAATATCCCTTCAAATGTTTTCAATAAAAAAGCTTTAGTCACTTATATTTCAGGGTAGTTTTATTCTGACCATGGGCCCTCTGAAACTCTATTGTTTTATAAACTATCATGACAGAAGCATATAAATGAAACTTTTTGCTATTTGCAATTACAATATGTGTATCAGATTCACAATCCAAAAAGTATTCCAATTAGTTTTGTGAGTTATTCAATATTACGCCTGAAAATCTTTTAAGGGGAGTTCAGGGGTGAAATATTAAAACAAAATCATTCATTTTCATGTTTGTCAATGAATCACTACTGTCAAAATTAAATAAAGGTTCTACCGCCAAACTATTTTCAGTGTGTATTGCCAAGTATAACCAGGTCCTCCAAAATGTTTGTGGCTTTTTGGGGGATTCTTGTGCCTGATTTCACAGACTTTATTCTAAAAACTTGTTATGCATGTGTTTGTAAGCATTTTTATTCTAACGAAATTGCGAAAGAAAGTGAAAATTGCAATACAGTGCAATTAAATTTACTAAAAATCGAAGGCATCTTCAAAAGAAGAAGTTTGGTGACGAATGACTTAAGGTATTAAGGACTGCTATAATTGGTGAAAACTCGACTCGTTGAATTTGCGGTCGCAGTGATCCCACAGAATTCACATATTGGTTTAATTTACATTATTTGGGATCGCAACTTCCATGAGGGACAGTATAACACTGCCATATTTATAATTAATTAAATGTGAATTAGAAATTTGCATACAAAATGTAAATTGAGCTTTTGCACTTGACTAAAATCACATCATCCATTTATATGGTCAAAATAAAATCAATGTGCTGTTAAAATGTACTGTTAATAGCTTTTTATTATTCAGGGAAGTATCCAAATGCTTCTGTTGCCTCAGCTGGCTGGAGAAGTGTGTTGGTGTCTGTGTTTGATTGACAGCAGCTGGCACACTGAAACACACCAATCAGCAGACACCAACCCACTGCTTTTGCTGCAAGAAAGCCATGTCTGTCTGGTATGAGGGAATGTGAGCTGAATTTAGACTGCTCTGCCTGGAGGTGCAGTCAAAAAGGAGAACTCCACCACCAAAGACAGCGCTTGATGTTTTAATGAAATGATTTTTAATAATGTAAATTTCCACAGTCATCCATCATCCATTCTTAAAAGCAGCTATTAGGAACAGTAAAATGTATTGAGTTTTGTCATTTACCCAGCCAATTTATTTATTACATTTATTAACAATGAACTCTCTTTGTTACTGTCCCTCCACTGCAGCCCAATACTCTACACTAGATATGAAGATAAGACATCCACTTGATTTGATGAAGTCAGACTGCCGAAGCCTCATATAAGGTTCAGATCAATTATGGAACACATCTGCACAAAACGAGGAATGTGGATTTTTCGTCCCCCATCCCTTACACTGAAAATGCATTAAGAAGGGATCTCCTAAAGTGGTGGTCAGTGGTGGTGAAAATTGACATGTCATATGGGTCTCACACTTGGGAAAGCAAAATGGTTCGATTGCGCCCCCTAGGAGGAGTTTGTTAAAGTACAACCCCGGGAAAATGGTAAAAACCGTGCAGCAATTGCACATTAAATTCAAAATGGCTGACTTCCTGTTGGACTTTTTTGTCAGTGTGGACACGATACATGTGCTTTCCGATTTTGGTACATGTAGGTTAAACATGCTGCGGGGGCTGCTTTCTTAAAATTGTGTAGGGGGCGTTAATCATACCATTTTGCCACACCCATATCAGAAAGAAATTTCCCCCACTTTTGAGCACCTTAAAATGCGATTAATTTGGGATCAAATTAATTCCTTTCTTACAATAGGGCCATAATAATTCAATACTCCTTAAATATTAACAAAATGCAACAAACTCGAAAGGAAGAGCTGGTTAACGGCAGGAAATAAACCAACTAAACTGAACTACCTGAGAGGGTGTTGTTGTCAGTGTTCCTGTTAACAGTGGGAATCAGAGCCCTCACTCCTCCCTGCGTGAAATTCAGCTGCAGGTTTGTGACGCTGACTGTGACGGCTGTCTCACACTAGTCTGCTCCCTGCAGTCAAACAGAAATCAGAAAAAGGAAGACGCTGTTTGATGGAGGTCTGCTCTCTGTTCTTTTCTCCAGCTCTGGGGCAGCGAGGCTTGCAACTTCCATCACGTTTTATGAAATCTCTCTCTGAGCAACAGATAAGAGGTTGCCATAGCAACACAACATGTCTCCTAGCAGTGTAGTAGGATGCCCTCTCACCCAAACCTGCCTCCTCTCCTATTGTTCTAGGAATAGTTCAGCCTGTGTAAAGATGTTGAACACACACACACACGGTGCAATCTTACATAACATAAATAATGTGTACAGTCTGATTTCTCTCTGATTCTTAACACTGCATAAATAATGACAGATGGACTACAATGAATCAGTGAACAGGGACCAATCTGATTCTAAAAAGAACAAACTGGAACAAATGGCAATAACCAGCTTGAGTGAGTAAGCTCTTTATTATTACTTTTTTGTTTGATGTAAGAATGGCACAGGATCATAAACCTCATTATAACTAACAGTGTTTGGTCAGGTGGGACTATGAGCATCACGTCACTGCCCCACACCTGACGTGCACAGGCTGTAAACCGGTCACAGCACTGGTGTGGTAAAGTTCTTCACATTAACAAATCTAAATCAGATCACTCACACAGTGTGAAAAAGGCACTGGCTGCTGTAATTGTACAAGACACGATTATCAGGGATGCATGATAATTATCAGGGCAGATAAGTTGGCTGATAATGGGAAATTTATATTATAGTAAATTATCCCGATTTATAAATTACAGCTGATAAGGTATGTTTCTTTAAAGTAAATGTTTGTGAAATTTCATGATGAACTTTATTAGAAAAACTAAATAACCATTTGAAGAGTCAGAACTGTTGTTTGTCGTTGTGAAGTCAGTTTAAGTTAAAACAGAGCTACTGAATGTTAAATCATCCATCTTTGTTCACTAAAAAATCACACAAAAATGTGAAATTATTTTTATCTTATCGGTATTGGCCATGAGAAGCAGGTAATTAACGGTTATCATATCGGCTAAAAACAACTCCATATCGTGCATCCCTCATGATTAACCTGTGAAAACTGGATATGAATCCATAATTCTCTGTCCAACTGTGGGCAGAGGTCGGATCAGTCAGTGGTGAAGGTGAAGCGTGTGACATGTCGGTAGTTCTCACCAGGACGCAGGAGACAATCAGGAAATGAGGTCTGGAGACACACACACACACACACACACAAAATTTTACTTTTTGGGGACATTACGTAGCATGACTTGCAGCAAAGGGCCACAGGTCAGATTCAAACCCATGGCCACTGCATCAACGACTCATGCCTTGGAACATGGGGCACCAGCTCCACCAGGTGAACTAGGCTCCCCAACAAGCTACATTTTTAAGACCTTGTAGGACCATTATGAATGTAATTTAAGACCTATTTTATATCCATAGTGGCAAAAAAAAATAATAATAATATGTTTTGGTTTCATGTCGGTTTGGTTTTGTAGTTGTGACAGCATGATCAAAACACATCATTGTGTTACTCAAGTAACATAATTAATCCGGTATATCTTTAAGATCTGTCAAACTCATATTTAATACATTTTAAGGCCTAAAATTCTGATTATTGGATTTTAAACTTTAAACCCTGCAGACACCCTGGACCACTACTTGCCTAACCCCAACCCGTACCCTAACCACTAACCCAAAAATCAGCTTTTTTCTGATTAGGGACACAGCTTAAATCTAAAATGCGCAGACATGTTGACTATTGACTATTAGGGTGCCGTTATTTCAATAAATCTAAAAACACGCAATGCGTGTTTTTTCTGTGGGCAAAGCTTTTTACACATGAAAGTGTTTTTCATGGCTTTCATGTGTTATGTTATACATGGGGGAAACATCAACCGGATTATTCTCTGGGGCCACGACTCTAAAAGGTTGAGAAGCTCTGTACAGACGTCTGCGTACTGCCAGGTTGTTGTGACTGCCTATACAGTCCGCAAGTAGCAAGTTACATTTACAAAAGAAGATGCAATTTCATCCTTCTCAACAATATAATCAAACAGATCACTATAAACAACATCTTATCATCCTCATACCTGGTTGATGGCATCGGGCCAGTTCTGTGTCTCCAGACAGAAGGAGCTGTGCTTCCTGTACCTAGCCCCGCCCTTTCCTGTAATAGAGCCATCCAGGAAGTTGGCAGTGTAGAACTGGACTCCTGGTTGGCTGGTGGAAACCTCCAGGACACGCCCACTGGCTGGGTGACACACTCTGAAGTCATAGATGAAGAAAGAGGTATTTATTAAAGACATTGGTGTGTATTTAGAGTGTGTGCAGTGTGTTTGAGACATTGAGACAAACCTGGCAGCGTGTCTCTCTGCCCAAGTATCACCGGGTGGTGACAGACAGAAGTTGTGGTCAAACCCCGGACCTGGAACTTCCTTCAGCCGAGGGCCAATCAGAACAGGCTTTCTGAGGTCAAAGGGTGTGCCTTCCACTCCTCTGATCTCTCCTGTGGACAGAATAGGTTATTGATTGGTGATTGAGTATTAATGAACAAAGGTTAGATAACGAGGCACAGTCCATTCTCTGAGGGAAAAAAAGTCATGTGAGAAATTTCAGCAAAATGTAGCACCATCATGGAAGTCAATTAGTTAATTAATTAGTGGCAGTGTTATATTGGATTGAATGGAGCCCCCTGAGGGACTCCATGGCAGAAAAAACATGCATGGAAATCCATGTGCAACAGCTCTGGGAAAATTCTGCCATTCAGAATAAAAGTGCAGAATCATAATTCTTTTTTTCTTTTTTTTTAATAATATTTTTATTACATTTTCTGATATAAACACAGACAACAAACAACAACAAAACATGGCCACAAAAAACAAATCTCGGACTACTTGTTATGTGATATACACAATACAATACACTCAGAGAAAATAGTCTCCCTACCTTAATAAACTGTGAGTATAACTGGGAAGACATGGGATCTAAGTATATGTACATACACATTTACACACAGACATAAGGAAACGCTCAGCCCCATTACAATTGACAGCGATGCAGCGAATACATATCTGGAAAGAAAGAAGAGTAATAAAGAAAATAACAATATCAATTTGAGAGAAAATGCTATGTTATTGTTTTTTTAAAAAGAAAGCAAATAAATAAATAAAAGAAAAAATAATTATAAGCAAATCAATGTCCACCTTACGACCCAAAAACATGTTAGCCAGTTTTCCTCATTGTCATCTATCATCCCTTTTAATAGAATAGTTGTAAGTCTTTTACCAGCATATTTAAAGAAAGGGGTCCAGATCCTACAAAAATTGCTTACATATATATATCTAAGCAATATATTTTTCCGAGCAGCAAATGTGAGAANNCCTTTAATATGAGGACTGGGCAAGTCAAGAAGCAGAACCTGAGAATCAGCATCCCGCTGGACATTAAAAATCTAATTAAGTTTACTAACAATTTTACCCCAGTAATCCTCAACATGGATACATGTCCACATACAGTGCCTATAGCTTCCCACCTCTACTTGACATTTGGAACACTTTTCAGACAAAGTTCATCCTGTGTCTGAGCTGTGGTGTGATCTGCAAGCGATGCAATATTCTAAACTGAGTCTCTCTGGTTCTGTTACATACGGAGATCTCTCTAGCTAACCGCCATATTTCCAGCCATGACGATTCATCTATTATAAGATTGAAATCAGCACTCCATTTGCATCGAAGATACTCTAAGTTCATATCGCTATTGAGCTCAGCAAACCCCCGATCGAGAACCGCATTCTTGCCTCTACCAAGAACTAAACGTTCCATCTGTGAAGTCTGACAGTCAAAGTCATACCTGTTTTGATTCTGAATGAAGCTTCGAATTTGCAGATATCTGAAGAAGTGGTTTCTCGGGAGACCATATTTCTGTCGAATTTGTTCAAATGTAAGCATTACTCCTTTATCAAATAAATGTCCCAGAGTTAAAATCCCCCTCCTCCCCCCACATCTTAAATCCCCCGTCTGAGCGGGCTGGGGCGAAATCCATATTACCGTATATCGGAGCTAGTGAGGACAATGTTTTAGAACGACCCTCTAACGTCCTTATTGCTTGCCAAGCTTGCAGACTTGTTGTAATTAAGATGTTATTGTCCCCAAGGCAAATAGAAGACTTGAGAGGCCATTACCTGCATTCACAGATTCCAGATCTAGCCACACCGATTCTGGGTCATTATTAATCCACTCAGCTATGTATCGGAGCTGTGCAGCTAGCATAATATTTGGGACGGCTAAGCCTCCCTGCTCTACAGACATTTGCAACTTAGCCATTTTTAGTCGTGGTTTCTTTCTGTTCCAAATAAATGAACTGATCCAGCCATTTCCCCTCCTAATTGTTTTATTATTTAATAAAATAGGGACCATTTGAAAGTGATAAAGAAGTCTTGGTAGAATATTCATTTTGAGTAAGGCAATTCTACCCATCATTGACAGTGGAAGAGTTATCCATCTGCCCAAGTCATCACATATACGCTTTAAAAGAGGTTCAAAGTTGGCCTTGTACATTGCTTCTAATGATGTGGTAATGGAAATCCCAAAATAAGTAAAGCCTGTGGGTGGGAAGAATCAGTCCAGGGACATCACCCGGAGTAACCACTCCGCTTTTCCGTGAGATGAACGCCACCAGGAATAAAAAATGCCAATATTGCAGGATAAGTGTGCCAGAGCTCCGCCAAAACGTGGCTACTCAGGTGCTTGCATCACCGGAAGTCATAATTCTTTTAGAAACACAGGCTTTCAGAAATGTAATGCAATGTGACTGTAAATGAAAGCCAGAAAATAGTAAAAATACTACTGTATATTAGACTATAAAATAACAGGTCACAGCATGTTAATTGGTGTTGAACTGCAGTGATAAAAATTCTTATTTTTATAATCAGTTAGCTGTACTAAATGTTACTGGCTCAGTGTGCACTACTCTGAGACAATACTATCCCATCTCTCACCCTCAATCTATCCTCCTGTTGGGGATTTAACAGACAGTTAGCACAGAGGCTGGAGAAATAGGCAGGACCAGCTTGTCAAGACTTGAGTACAACCCTCTACTTTTAACTCAGCATGACACAGAATTGATTCTATATTTTTAAGTCTTGTCAGCCCTTGAGGTGGATTTCCATTCTAACACAGATTCTGTGGTATAAATAAACAGTCATTAGCTCCTCTATCTCCAAGGGAGACCAGAGCTAATTGTGGAGTAATGAGAGTGTTTGTCTGACAGAGCACGAAGAAATGCACTCCCACACTAAAGTACAAGCGTTCGTGCTTCCACAGAGACATGATGGATTTAACATATGCAAAAAGTAAATGAAGACTAAACTAGCATTTATCTCAAACTGCAAAAAAAACAATAGGACCTGACCTCTGGAAATAGAAACAGAGACAAGAACACAAAAGATAATTCTGCTGTGGAGCCAACTGTTGTCTATAATCCATTTGACTGTTTCAGCTTCCTGTAGCTGGTTACTACTTGCCAGTTGTACATGTTTTTTCAGTACATACAATATCTGGTGAATAAAGCTCATGATTTCATGTCTTGATATTAACACATTCTCATTAACACATCTTGTAGAGTCTGGAATACCTCTGTAAACTGACTTATTTACTCATATGACTTCTCAATCTC